CCTTCTGAACTGGGAACTGCCCTTCTGCAAAGCAGCAACACCCAAGAGCGAAGGAACCTTTCGGTAGTTCCACAGGCAGCAGCTGCGTGGCCCAATAGAGTTTATGGTCCCTTTCTGTTGCAGCTGGCTTCAGGATGCAGCCATTTATGTAGGGGTAAAGAAGAAAATCCCTGTTGATTAAGGTTTGCTTAGAAATCACCTCATCTAAGTGATCATTTTTCTGTTGTTTTTTGTTACTGGTGTTAAATATCACTGGAGGAACATGAGCAGATATTGAATGCAATAACTGCATATCTGCAATAGCAGCTAGTGTATTGGTAACTTACTGAGCATCATTTTATGGTTTTGAGTTGTTTAAAACAGTAGGGATGAATTTGAGAGATAATTTTAAGATTGGCAGTGAAAGGAAGTGGGTGTATATGAAAATAGCATTTGGATGTTGTAAACACATGTAGCTGATGGCGTTCTTGGTGATGCTTGGATGTTGTATTTATGCAGTAAAAGTTCTGAGACTGCTTGAAGGTAAATTGGAGACCCTGGCCAAGAAAGTGGAGGTTATGTTTGCTCTACTTGCAATGCAATATTTGATCATTGAATTTCTAATGAATCCTCGGATGTTGCATAGATGCTGGGACAATTTAGGAAGTAATATACTTCATTTCATTTGATGGCATGTAATACCTTGTTCCGTAAAGAAAAAAAAAAAAAAAACAAACCTTTTTTTATTTCTGATCCTTCTCTTTAAGTCTTTCTCTTGCACTCGCTTGGCATCATTTGTGTTTTGCAGTGCTATTAATTTCTCATTGCATGTCTGCAGTCTTCCTAAAGCCTGGAAAAGCATCGGCCTCTGTCTGTGGGCCATGCAGATTTTTATGCTTGGGCTCTTTCAGGGTAGTGTTGTGGGCTCTGAGCTTGATTTCTGACATTGCCTCTCTCCTCCTTTGTTGTTCAGCACATCTACCCAGAACTTAAGAAGTGAGATGTGAAAGTTTGGCTTCTCCTCCCGTGGAGGTTTGACTATTGGTTGTGCCTGAAGCGTGGGAGGCAGGCAAAAACATGAGGATACATCGTGGGAGGAGTGGCTGTAGTGCAGAGGTGTGCCTCAGTCATCTGTAAAAGCCTTCAGTGTAGTAAAAGTCAGATCATGTGTTGATTGACTCAAGACGTACGTGGGAAATTGCTGAAAGTACTTCCTGACAGATCATTAAGATAGTAATTAGGAGGGGATTTCCTACGATGCTTCTACCATACCTTTCACTAGAGGAGGAAAACTCAGGGCAAGGGAGAAGAGAGATGAAGAAGCACTTTAGAGTGGAGTCAGGGTTGTGAGTTCATGCTCTGGACGCTCCAGTGATCCACAGGCCAATGGTCTGCTTTTTAGCTCAGGATTAACTTAGGTGGGCGACCTAGAAGCCAGCATGCTGACGTGTCAAGCAGCTTCTTCTCATTGTGGGAGAGATGTCAGAAAGGAGACGGTGTCCCGAGGCAGAGCTCAGCAGCAATCGAGTGCTCTGAGCTAACAGAGGTGACTAGTGTGGAGTGGGGCAGCCTGCGGGAATAGCACCTTTATCAGAGAACACACCCTTTGGTTTTAAGGTGCCTGACCGTGAGGTGGGTGACTGGTCCTGTGCCTCAGACCCTGCAGGGCTCGGGCAGCGTTATGGGAGTGGGCACTGACTGCGAGTGACTGTGGAGGTGACTGCGCAGTGCAGTGCCACTTGCAGTGGCGGGGGGCTGATATCTGGGTGGCTTTTCCCTAGCACAGGGTATCACTTGAGTACAGCACACTGAGAAAAACAGGCTCTGTTAGAGTCCATGGCCAGCTTGTTCGGGTTAAAGCAGCAATTGCTTTGGGCCAGCTAGGCTGTTTGGGTGCTGTAAATGACTGCAGTGATCTTCTCTTCTGTGGCCGACACTGAATTTAGGAGTTAACCTGCTGGTTTCCCTTCTTATCCTTTTATCAGCAACCCACGTTTGAATGCCAGAGGCTTAGGTGCGTATCTGTTCCTTTCACTTTTTGTCACTCAATTTATTTTCCTCGCTGGAGAATTGTTCTTCCAAGCAGCAGTCCTGCTTCAGTTATTTGGGGTGTTCCCAAATCCCATCAAGCCAAACTCCTGCTTGTTCCTCAAGTTCAGCTTGAGGAACAAGCAGATTCCTGGAGCCTCAGGATCCCTGTTGCCTGCAGCTGTGTGGCCATGTCTGTGTCTCTTGCCTGATGGGTTTCATGCTTTTGTGGTATTATTCTAGCACTCCAAATCTTTTCAACCCCATCTCTCTGAAATGAATTTTTGTTTTGTTTGAGTTGTTTTCTTTTTCCCCCATGCCTTTATTTCACAAAGCCAACTACCTCATTCAACTAGAGTTATATTTGAGCTGTGCTGTTTTCTGTGTTATGTCAGCAGGGGATGGAAAATGTTATTCTTGACTATTAACTGTTGCACTGTGGGTCTAAACATCTTTTTTTTTTTTTTTACTCTAGCTGCTAAACAAACCGGAAAACTGCTGCGGACTTAAGGAAAGTCAAATACTTTCTCTGCTTAGCGACATTGGTACGTAGTCTAATGCCTTTCTTGTGTTTTGGTTTTTGAGGGTTTTTTTAATTGTTTGATGGCATTTTGCTTTTTCAGCTGGCCCTGAAAAGGGGACTAACAAGAATTAGGTGTTAAAACAGATCAGGTTTCTATTCCAGAGGAAGGACTTGGTATCCTTGCTGATCACAGGGTCAAGAAACTTGCACTAAGGATGTGTCTGTGGAGTGGGATTGGAAAAGCTGTGTAGTGGTCAGTTGTAGGTAACTATGACTTTAATATTTTGTTTTGTTAAGGCCACAGTTTTCTGTTCAAACCTCATTTCTGTTCATGGCTCTGGAGATGCCAAACTGCATGTCACTTGAAGGGATGTAACTTTTACAAGCCAAAAAGCAAGAACCAATGTGAGAGGTGCCAAAGTTGCCCTGTGGCTTCTCTGTGCAGGGTTTGCTTAGTAGGAGGGAAATTTTGTTTGTTCAGAGTCACAGTACAGAGAAGATGATAAACTGGAGTGGAACTGAGAGCAAGGAAGGTAAGAGCATAGCAGAAGAGGAAGCCGACCATGCTGTGGCTAGTCCAGCACTCTTCTGGCTAATGATGTGCTCTCAACTGAGGATTAGTTAAGTAGACAATCCCAAAATAAGTGCGCTTCTCATTTTGGAAGAGCGATTCTGTTGGTCTGCATTAGAGTTGTGGCTAGCACAGTGATGGAGATCACTGTCTCCTTTACTCAGCACTGGGGAGGCCACATCTGGATACAGTTGTCCACATCTGGCCCCAAGTTCCAGAGGGATGTGGAGATCCTGGCAGGGCCCTGCAAAGGCTGCCCAGGACCTGGAGCATCCAACCCACCAGGAGATGGGCTTGTTGGATCTGGCCACAGGGAGTTTGAGGAGGATCTGAGAGCAGCCTGTGGATACAGAAAGGGCAGGCACAAAGGTGATGGATGGGGCCAAACTGAACTTGGTGAGCAGCCTATCAAGGGGCAACAGCCCTGTGTTGCATCATGGGAGGTTGAAGTGCGAGGTTGGAGAAGAAACCTTCTTTCCCACTAACACTGCTGTTGTGCCGTGTATGGCCATAGTGAAGGTCCCAAGGCACCCTACAGGGAGGCAGAGTGATGATGAGATGAGAATTAGCCAGACATCAGGTTGATATGCATTACAGAAGGTGTCTGATATCATAGAATTATAGAATGGTTGGGTCGGAAGGGACCTTAAAGCCCATCCAGTTCCAAGCCCCCTGCCGTGGGCAGGGACACCTCCCACCAGACCAGGTTGCTCACAGCCCCATCCAACCTGGCCTTGAACATTCCCAGGGATGGGGCAGCCACAGCTCCTCTGGGCAACCTGTGCCACTGCCTCACCATCCTCGCCGGGAAGAATTTCTTCCTCATATCTCATCTAAATCTTCCCTGTTCCAGTTTAAAGCCACTGCCCCTTGTCCTATCATTCCATGCCCTTGTAAAAAGCCCCTCCCCAGCTTTCTTGTCGGCCCCTTTAGATACTGGAAGGCTGCTCTAAGGTCTCCTTAGAGGTCTGCCTTCTCTTCTCCAGGCTGAACCACCCCAACTCTCAGCCTCTCTCCATAGGAGAGGTGCTCCAGCCCTTGGATCATCTTCGTGACCTCTTCTGGACTCACTCCAACGGATCCACGTCCCTCTTGTGTTGGCGGCCCCAGAGCTGAAGGCAGTACTGCAGGGGGAGTCTCACCAGAGTGGAATACAGGGATTTCAGATTCTGCAGTTTGGAAGGGGAGCTGGCAGCAAATCTATACAGAATGGGAGTAGCCCAAGGTGACAGCACTGCTCATAGGGAACAATTTAATTTGATACCTTTGGGTGCCTGCTTTAAAGCATTTTCCCAAGGCTGTAGTAATCCGTGAAAATCATTCTGTGACGTGAACTTGATGGTACCCAGAAGTGTTTCTCGTTTTTCTAACTGTTGAACATTAGCTTGCTTGATGCCAAATTCTTCACCACCGAGAGCACTGTAAGAAAATAAAAGATATGAGACTTGAAACTGGCTTTTCTATCAGGAAGTGCCCGGCTTCTTGGACACCCTGAGGAGGACGAGTCATTTGAGGGTGATGTCTACAGATAGTTTCTCTAGCAAGTGCACTTTCCAGGAGAGCTCCTCAGTAGAGCTCCTTGGGTTTTTTAGTTCTCTTACAGATAACCCATCCCTGCTTGTAGGAATGGAGCTAGTTTTGGCATGAGAAGGCATTTTGGACGTATTGGCCTGGGCTTCGGTCCTTTCAGTGCTCAGAGGGCTTGCAGCTGAGTTCCTGAAGTCAGCCCCAGCAGAATGGGGTCTGTTGTCTTCAAAAGAAGTTGAATGTCTTTGGCAAAGATTTGAAAATGCAACGGAGAAGAAAAAAAAGTTAAAAGCTGTATAAATAAGTTGTAAATCAGAGAAGGGTGGGGACTTTCTCCTAACAGGGAGAAAATGTCTGAACTGTGGACAAGGCAGGTTGGTTGAAATTTTTCTCTTAAAATAATCCTGTAATGAATTTACAGTCACGGCTGGTTAGAAGTAGGCTTTACACAATGTGTTGCCAGAATATCTTTTGGATAGGAAAATATAAAATACCCCATGATGGAGATGAGAAAATACAGTACCTGCTTTGGGCCTTTCAAGGGACCTTTTATTTCCACTTGCACATCTCCAAGATTGAGAAATCATGACTTTAAAACAAAACCAAAAAACCCTCAAATTTTGGAAGTCGTCTTTTGCTGTTTTGTCTGTGGCTGTGTCCTGTGGCAGACACTTTCTTGATACATAATGTTTTATTTCATGGCCAATGTGGCATTTGGATTGACCAGTAGTGAATTTTCACCTTCCTGCAGGCAGGATTTCTCTTGTTTCTTTTTTATTAGTGCCCCCACAGTCCCCTCAAGGCAGTTCAAGTGTGGACTGTTGCCACAAGGCAAAGTCCTACTCTTTGCCTTTTCTTTGGTGCATGCTCCTGTTCCCTCCCCTATTGCAGTTACTCCCATACCCAGACAAGAAGCAGATTCTGGAAACCAGCCTGGCTAAAACCTGATTATTTTTTTTCTTAGTAGTTTCCAGCTGGATCGATCCCAGGATCAAGCTGATCATGCAGAGCCATAAATGCTTGTGCTGCCATGGAAATTGCATCTGGGAAAGGAGAGTTTGGGAACCTATGTTCCTTCTGGAGACAGCTCCCACATAGATTGGCCTAAAGGAATAATGAAATTTCATTTTTAGCAGTGGGAGTAACAGAAGTGGTGTTACTTTGAGCGCACCAGTCCCCCATAAGCAGAGGTGAAGCCTTGAGCCCTTAAGTTCAGGGTTGCTAATGCTGACCACAGCGTTGCTGGCGGCACCTCGGTCAGCATTAACCGGAGGCTGCCCAGGAATCAGTTTTTAGCTCCAGCTGTGCTTCTGCTTCATCGCAGCTGGATGGTCCCTTCCCTGATGGAGTGGTTTGCATTGTGCTTTGACGGTGGTGGATGTTTACTAGAAGCTCTATGAGCTACTGTTAGGCAGTAGTTTTAAGTCAGAGGGAAACTCGACTTGTTTCATTTGCTTAATTAATTTCAGTGCTTTCTTTCATCGGTGTCTTGTTTAATGTGCTCATGTATATAAATAGATCTTTTTGTTATCTTGTGTTAATTTGCCAAGATCTTAGGCTAGAGGACATGCAGAGCTGTTTCAAGCTGCCTCCTCGTTCTGGAGACCGGTTTTGCTTGTCTGTGTGCTGTGGTTCATTTTGTAACTCTCCAGCTCGAGAAGAATTCAGCTGCCTTTTCTTTTGCCTTAGAGGCAAGAGATGTGACCTGCGGATAGGCCACAGGGTCTGAACTCTGTAACAACCTCCATTTCTGCAGAGCAGAGGAACAGACCTAGTTCAGTCCTACCATAAATCTGATGAATCTCTTAAGTCAGTAGTTCTTAATAGTGCTTTAAAATGAAAATTTATTGATGTCAACCCCAAAGTCAGTGATACTAGATTTCTATCAGATGTATCCTTAATCAATGTGAGTTTATTTTCTATTATATCAAACACATGTCTTTCAGGGTCTGGTATCCAGTATTTGCATGAAAACAGAATAATACACAGAGATTTAAAGCCTGAAAATATTGTTCTTCAGGATGAAGGTGGGAAGGTAAGTCAGGTGGCTTCTGTCAGTGATGTTCCCACTGTCATTTCTGGAAGTTGACAGCAACTTTGTCTTACCCGAGAGAAATAAAAGAGAACAAGCAGCTTGTGGCATCGAACTGGGCTGAAAACTCAACTGTGAATTTACTAAAAGTTTACGTCTTTTTGAAGCCACAAATCCTATTTTGCTTATTCTTAAATCCTTGTCGTTAAAAACAAACAACTTTTGCTTCCATTCAAGAACCCTGCCTGCAACAGAATATGAATGATATGAGATTGTAGCATATCCCTGGATTTGTGGCTTTGGGGGCTGCATGTAAAATCAAGCTGGTTCAGAGAGTTGGCCTAGTAGATTTCGTAGTGAAAATTGTTTTCTCTATTGTTACTGTTTAAACAAATAGCTTCCAATTCCCAGATACAAAGCTATACGCTGTGTTCGGCCAAGCTGTAACTGGCAAGCTGCTTTAAATAAAGTCGAATCTAAGTTGAGGTAGGTGGGCAACGCCAGGTTATGTGGTGAAACAGCAAGTCTTAACACTGTGTCACGCGTCCAAGCTTCGCAATGGACTTTCTCCAGAATTTCCGTTGTGGCCTTCCTCCTCTTGAGTGTATGTTGTGGATGTCACTGCACAGATTTTGGGTTGTTTGGTGGTTTTTTCCTCTGAATTTGCTCTTCTGTTCATCTATTTAAACTGTCTACAGATTGTTCACAAGATAATAGACCTGGGATACGCAAAGGATCTGGATCAAGGAAGTTTATGCACTTCATTTGTTGGAACATTACAATATTTAGTAAGACTTTCTTTATTTTTATGTGTGCAAGTGAGGTGATGTTGCCACATTTTATAGAATCACAGAAGTGTGTGTCAGAAGGAGCCTACCTGTGTCCCTTGTCCAGCCTTCCCGCTCGCAGCAGGATTGTCACCAGCACTAAGTCAGAGCAGCCGTGGCTTGGCCCAGCCAAGCCCTGAAACCTCCAAAAATGGAGATCCCGCACCTTCCTGGGGACCTGACCCGAGGGTGTTCGCTCTCCAGGGGAAGAAGCATTTCCTTATGTCCAACCTGAACCTCCCAGACGGTCATGTGGGGCTGTTGCCCCTCATTGAATCACCTGTTGCTTCCAAGATGACTGTGACCCTGTCCATCCCCTCCATCCCTTCCTGTGCCACTGTCGGGGGCTGCTCTCAGCCCGCCGCCCCCTCCAGCCTCCCCACAGCCAGACCCAACAAGCCTAGCTCCCTCCCATCTCCTCATGGATTGGGTGCTCCAGGCCCCGACCCACCAGGCAGCCTAAGCAGGGCTATGTCAGGGTCCTCGTGCCACTCTGGAACTGGGGGCCATGCCTAGATGCAGCTTTGTCTCTGCAGAAGTGCAAGAAAATTGATGACCTGAAATGGTGCTTTCAAAGTGTCTTTTTATGATCCTTTTTAGGCTCCAGAACTCTTTGAAAATAAATCCTACTCAGTTACTGTTGATTACTGGAGCTTTGGAACGATGGTGTTTGAATGCATTGCAGGATTTAGACCTTTCTTGCATAATCTACAGCCATTTACCTGGTAAGACGCTTACTCTGCAAGAGGTGATACCAGGCAATAGGAATGACAGCTACTGAGTGTGGTGAGGTGATAGCGTGAACTAGAATGATAAATTTATTGTCTGTTAGGTGCTGAGGCTGGTGATCTAAGCTTTGCAGAAGTCATTGATACTATCGGTGACAGTTCAATTGGCTATTTATACATACTGTAGTATGTGCTTATTACGTTATGTGGTAGCCTCTGGTCATAATAATTCCTTCACGAGTGAAATTCGAATCAAAAAATATAATTATAAACCAGTCTGTGTATCCGTGTCAGAAAAATGTAATGGGAAGGAGTAGTACAGTCCTTTGTTCACCTCGGCTGTGAGATTATTTATTTTTAGCAATAAATAACAGCAAGACAGAGCATGTTTTGTGTAGTAAACACATAGTTACGTGTTTGTAAGTGACTTTACAAAAGTAATGACTGAAGGACTTTAACCTGCATATGGAGGTTTCTGCTTGCTCTTTGAGGGCTAGAAGGAGGGGCAGAAATACATATTTTCATATTTCCACTTCTTACCTTGCCATACCAGGAGTGTAAGCTTGGTTTCTAAAAGGGTGGTTCTGTAACAGAAAAAATACAAAACTTGCTTTTCTGTTACACTGAAATAATAACAGGAGAAAAGGTAAATCTGAGGGGTTTATGCAAACATTAGCTTAAATTATTATGTGTTAACAAAAAATAATTTTAACCAATATGTTGCAATGGTTTCCCCTTTAACTGCTAAGGTAAGGGCAGTGGTTTTGCCAGATGACTTCTGCAAGTCTTACCTGTCTCTTTAAAGTGTGGAGGCTGATTTTGTTGTGCAGGCTTGCTCTGCAGTCAGTGAATTGTTACCTGTTGACCCTCTTGTTTGACCCTGTCCAGACCTCCTTGCAAGCAGGTGCAAAAATGTTTCCAGAGACAGAGTTAATTGCAAGAACTCCCCTCTTCCACTTGAAGATGTTCTGGGTGGATTGTTTAGAAATGTTGTCTTTGTCCTGAAAGAAGAGTTTGTTTTCTAAAGCTACTAGACTGGCGTTTTTTGCTGCTGCTATTCAATTGGCCCTTTACAAAAGTAACGTTGTCAGTATATCCACAAAGGATTTTATTTTCTAGGCATGAAAAAATCAAGAAGAAGGATCCAAAGCACATCTTTGCTTCTGAAGAGATGAATGGCGAGGTTCGGTTCAGTACCCATTTGCCACAGCCTCACAGTCTCTGTGGGTAAGTGTGTCCTCGTGGCTACAGGTGATAATTTTTGGCTTGTCTTTTAAACCGAGGGCTCCTCCTTCTTTCTCCTAAGGAGTATTTCAAGCTTCTGGCAAGCTACCATTTGCTGTTAAGGAATAGCCTGTAGCTGCATGGCTTTTTTTTTGATACTTGGGGCTCTCCAATGACAGTTCACCCTGCAGTTTGTGGGATGATGACAGTTCACCTTGCAGTATGAACTCTCTGACTGCTTTCCACATATTATCAGAAGGCCACTGAGTAACAGCTACGTGATAACTTGATGGTACTGAATCTCATAAACCAGGTACTCGAGTTAGCTGCTCCATGAAAGCAGAAGATTCTAGTAGTTGTGTTGGGAAAACTGCTGCAGAGGCCACAAAGATGGTCAGAGCCTATTGAATGGGCTTCTTCAGTCTGGCAAAGAGAAGGCAAAGGGAAATCTGATTTTTGTCTTCTATCTATGGGGCCGTTATGGAGACAATGGATCTAGGCTCTTCTCAGAGGGGCAAAGCAAAAAGACCAAGGGCAACAGCACACGTTACACCAAGGGAAGCGAAATTTGGGCACAAGAAAAAGGTTTCCCCGTGTTAGTGATGCGTCCCTGGGACTGGGCCCCAGGCAGTGGGGAATCTCCACCTGTGGGGACTGACCAGACTCGCTTGGACACAGTCCTGAGCAGCCTGCTGTAGCTGTGACATTGGTCCTCCTGTGGGCTAGGACTCAGACCGAAGACCTCCAGGAGGACCTTCAACCTGAACTAATTGGTCTGTACCAAGTCAGAAATCAGACTCTGATCATTTGTCACTTATTTAGCACTTGTGTCTTTAGGTGTGCGCAGCAGTGCAGTGCAACTCGTTGGCACTGGTAAATTTCTAGGAAAAGTACTGGAGTTGAGAATGAAATAATAAGTGGTTTTGTGCCAGTGCTTTGGGCTTTTTGCACTGTATCTTGTCTTTAAAGACGTTCTTGACAATAAACTTACACATTTCTTCTGTGGATGAACATGGAGGAGAACCTCCCAGGCATCTGTGCAGCATGGGGATGGTTATTCTGCAGACAGGCGTTGAAAACTATTCGATTTTCTGTGTAACACAGATAGTTTTTGGAGGAAAAAGAACCAAAAAACCAAATCTCTCCCTTACCCATTTTGACGCACCTTACCGATGTGTCAGGATACTTTTGACTTAATGAATAGGAGTCAGAAGAAGAAGTGTAATGCAAGATATATTGGAATATATATATATTGCTCCTGCTGAGGTCAGTGAAGACTGTTGTTACAATGGGGGTGCTCACTCTGTATGTGCTTTCCTCCCTTTCCAGGCTTTCCCTGCTGTCAGGGTGAGCGACTGCAACGAAATCGCTGTTCTTCACACATGTTCAGTGGATCTTGCGCAGATATAGTCTCTAACCAAAGAGTTGTAACCTTATTGCTGTTGTGAGACCTTAGTCTCCTGAGTGGACTGTTATAGAGTATCTGCCTTCTCTTTTTATGGCCCTTCCATTTTAGTTTAATTGTAGAACTGATGGAAAACTGGTTGCAACTGATGCTGAATTGGGATCCACAACAGAGGGGCGGAGGTTTAGATCCTGAAACCAATCGTCCGAAGTGTTTCCTAATAATGGATCGCATACTGAATTTGAAGGTGAGTGAGGGTTGTTACTGGGTTTAAAGGCCTACTGAAAACGTCTTGGAGAACAGAAAGTGTGTTCAGTCAAGCAAATCTATAATCGTGTCGTCATCCAGCTGCAGGATCACAGGGAATGTTTTTCTTGGTATTAGGAAGTGAGTGTATATACAGGCTGTCCAGTACATATCCAAAGGCAAAGTATCACCAGCAATATTAATCTCTAGCTTTACACTTGGAGTAGAAGAATGACCCTGTATTATTGTCTGTGATCTCAGAAGGGACTTGCCAAGATCACCAGGATCTTTTCTGCCTGGAGAAGACAAGGCTCCGGGGAGACCTTAGAGCAGCCTTCCAGTACCTAAAGGGGCCGACAAGAAAGCTGGGGAGGGACTTTTTACAAGGGCATGGAATGATAGGACAAGGGGCAGTGGTTTTAAACTGGAAGAGGGAAGATTTAGGTGAGATATTGGGAAGAAACTTTCACCGTGAGGGTGGTGAGGCAGTGGCAGAGGTTGCCCAGAGCAGTTGTGGCTGCCCCATCCCTGGAAGTGTTCAAGGCCAGGTTGGATGGGGGGCTTTGAGCAAACCTGGTCTGGTGGAAGGTGTCCCCCATGGCAGGGGGATTGGAACTGGATGATCTTTAAGGTCACTTCCAACCAAACCATTCTGTGATTCTATGAAATAATGGCTTACTAGTTGCTAGTAACAGTTTTCTTGAACTGATGCTTTGATCTCCAGGTACATGTACTATAGTAGTACCTGTAGTAAAACAGAGATTACATTCACCTGACTCTTCCCCTTCAAGTAATTATTGGAGCTTCGCTGGTGTAAAACTAGCTGAAGCAAGCATGTGTAGAAGCCAGAGGGTAATTTTGTCTGATCTGGAAGGATTCCAAAGGAATTAAAGCCTGAAACACAAAATACTGTGCCCATAATTGGGAATTGTCAAAATCTGTATATTGTGGTGTGGTTTGGGTCCTACAGTCTCTGCCCAGATACAGTGAAACTATAGAGAGGGCCATGAGAGTGGTGAGAAGGCAAGCCCTGGTATGTAACAACTTTTTTGTATGAAGGGATTCCAGGCCTTTGTGTCCTTTGTCTTTGATAGCCAGTGACTTGTAATCGACTTGTACTCTTTTTACAGATAGTACACATCCTAAATATGACCTCTGCCAAGATTGTTTCGTTTCTTTTGCATCCCGAGGAAAGCCTTCATTCCCTTCAGATTCGGATTGAGTTTGAAACTGGAATAAGTACTGGAAATCAGGAACTGCTGTTGGAAACAGGGATTTGCCTGGACCCTCGGAAACCTGCTTCCCAGTGTGTTATTGATGGCGTAGTAAGAACGATTCTGTTCATTTCATGTCTTTCACATTCTCAGGGAATTTAAAATCTTAGGGAAGATAAATTGCCTTAGTCTTCTCCCACAGGAGACAGTTTGCTCTGTAAGTGTAGTAACTCTTAAGGTCTAGCATTATTTCCTTTATCAGGTAATGTAAGCAGATCCCTATAGCTATACTTTGTCTAAATATTTCAATGAAGTAAATTGCTAGCAAAGGGTCCTGTGTTTCTGTGGGATCTATCAAAATCAGTTTTTAAGGCACCTGATAAGAAGAGTGTCTGCCCACAATAATTAGTTCATAATGTAACCAGGACCCTCTGGGTTAGTAGGAGCTGTGTTTGGGATTTCTCTTGTTTATATTCTCTTCTCTTTTTTTCACCAGAGAGGCTGGGATAGCTACATGGTCTATTTGTTTGATAAAAGCAAAACTGTCTACGATGGACCCTTTGCTTCTCGGAGTCTGTCTGACTGTGTAAATTACATTGGTAAGTATGCTGGAGAATAGCTGGGAACTGAAAGCACTGCTTCTCACATAATATGAAAGTAGATTTGCCTTGCAGATCTCTGTGTTATCTTGAAGGGCACTGTCTAATTCAAAGAGGACCGTTTAAGAGCCTGGAACAGCCTAACAAAGTTTCATCTGCAGTACTGTTTCTCCACATTTTGCACATGTAACAGTTCAGAGAATTTATTGCCCACCATTTGGGAACTCTCCTGTAGAGCAACTTAAGAATTCATTTCAGGTTTTTGCCCTTGTGTCAAATTCTGTGCACTGAACAGCATCTACCCCACTTAAACACCTAAACCTAAGCATTACCCCACTTAAACAGAACCACAGTGTGAATGAAGGCTTGGGATATAATAAGTGCAACCTAATCTTCTAGCCTAGAGAGGGAAACTTTTGGTTATGTTTGCACACTACATCCTAGAAAGAAGATTCTGACCTGCGGCCTGTGATTTCATTTGCACGGCCTTCTGCTCTGCTAAAGGGTCTTGTCCCTTCACACCCACAGTGTTGCAGTGACATCATGCTGGAAGATGTTTGCAGAACTTGAGTGATAGCCCACATAGATGTCCTTTGGTGGTACCAAGGGTCAGAGACCTTCTTATCTTAGGGTTTAGCATCTGTAGAAGTTGTGCACGTATCCCTTCTCCTCCTCCTTGTGCACAGGTGCAAAGAAGTTTCAGCTCCTTGCAGTCCTGTGTCCTGAGATGGGGTGTTTTGGATGTTCATGAGCAGTTGCCCTCCTAGAGCTGTCACAGGTTTATGCTTCTGAGCCCCCTGTCAGCATCCTAAGGATACAGATGACCTTTTTGCCCTGCACTGTCTGTGACAGTTGCATTTCAGCTGTGATCCATCTCTCGTGTCTCACCTAAGTGAAAGAACAGGTCCCTCATTCTATGTTGCTGATCACTCAGGCCCTATATGAGGAAATCCAACTTGCTGTGATCACAGAGCCAAGCCAGTGTGTTTGACCATGTTGTACCGGTTACAGCACTGCTGTCATTCCCCTGTGGAGGTTATGAATTAGGTCTGGTCTTCAGAGACGCTTGACAGAGGTTCAAAACCTCCAGTACTGTCTTCGTGACAGTTTTCAGCTCTAGTGATAATATGTCCATAACCCCATAGCACTGATCCTACTTCTCACCAAGCAGAGCCAAATGTCTGAGAAAGTCCAAGTCTCTCCTTCCTCTTGATTTGTTAGAAGAGCCTGTCTGTTGCTGCATGGATACTGGTGAGATCTGCTTCAGTTGGTCCCTCTTAGTTCTGGTGCTGCTGCCTGGCCCTGGCATCATCAGTATACTTTCAGACCAGGCCTGAAAGCTGCTTCTCTGCTTTACAGCTTCCCTTACGTGTCTCCTGAAATGACAGCAGTGAGCTGCAGGACCTAATATACCTCTGTGAATGTATATCTATACCCGATATACCTGTATGAAGGACTTTGTATACCTCTAGGAAAGAAAAAATAGTGTCAAGGGACAGGAAATCTCTGCTGGGATACTGCATGTAAAGGGAATGCCTTGTGACATACTGTTAAGTAGCTTAATTTTCTTTGGCTTGGCTCTGCAGAAGTTGTGCTGGTTTTCTCTGTCTCCTTTTACTGTCACTCAGGTTTATTCTGATTGCCCAGAATACAGGAAAAAAAGTTTTATTTTGGTGAATTTCTTGGAGCTAAGGCTTTTTACGACGTGTTTATTGATATTCCAATGTACTGACAGTTCCCCATCTCTATAGGAGAACACACCTAAGTCCTGCATCTTTTCCCCTTAGACATCTACATCAGGAATCTGGGAGGAAACGTACAAAAGACTTGAAGATGTTTTCAGATGAAACGCATGTCAGGACAGTGACCAATATCAGTTGATTAAATGGAGCAATTAAATTTACTTTGCTAGCTTGGGCAAGTGCTTTAGATAGAGTTTTTGGATAAAACCACACGTGGGTCCTGCCTTGTGCCATGTTTCATGCAGATTGCCCCGTGTCTGCTAGTGCCAATAGGCCAAAGCACTCAAAGAAATGAGTACTCTTGTAGCTGTGAGTTCAAATGTGAGCTGTTGCCTGGGCAGTAGCAGGCTGTCAAATACCTGGGGAGCCGTAGCATGAAAAGCTTATACAGCAGCTTAGGCAGCATCACATAAAAATTGGGCAGATCTTATGTGGCTTGTGCCCTTAGTTTAGGCACCTGAAGCAGGAATTAGGAATGTTGTAAACACTGAAGTCCTTTTCTAGAGTTGTCCTTCGCTTGTGTACAATTGTGTTTTTTCTTGCATTCAGTACAGGATAGTAAAATCCAACTGCCAATTCCTCAGCTGCGCAAGGTATGGGCAGAAGCGGTTCACTATGTGATTGGGCTAAAAGAGGATTATAGCAGACTTTTCCAGGGCCAGAGAGCTGCCATGTAAGTTGTTACTCCTCATTCAGAAGATCCATTATTATGCAAATACAGAGACTGTTTGCATGGAAATGTACATCTCGGGGAGTTTGGTTATCCAAAGTTTTACAGCCTTCTGCTGTTCTACATTATAAAATGTATTTGGGCTGGGAGGTTATTCCACTTCAGGAATTTTACAGCATAGTGCCTGACATTGATAATAACTGAAATAACTGGAACGTTGAATGTAGTCACAGACCCACAGAATGACTGACGTTGGCAGGGACCTCTGGATATCATCCAGTCCAAGCCCCCTGCTCAAGCAGGGTCACCTAGAGCAGGTTGCCCAGGGCTGTGTCCAGGTGGCTTCTAAATATCTCCAAGGATGGAGACTCCACAGCCTCTCTGGGCCACCTGTGCCAGTGCTCAGTCACCCTCACAGTAAAAAAAAGAGTTTCCTGATGTTCAGAGGAAACCTCCTGTGTTTCAGTTTGTGCCCATTGCCTCTAGCCCTGTCACTGGGCACCACTGCCTCCGTTTGCTGTGCACCCTTCTCTCAGGTATTTGTACATTTTGATCCCTGCTCAGCTGCCTTTTCTTCTGGCTGAACAGTCCCAGCTCTCTCAGCCTTACCTCATAGGAGAGATGCTCCAGTCCCTTAATAATCTTCGTAGCCCTTCATTGGCCTCTCTCCAGTATGTCCATGTCTCTGGTGTACTGGGGAGCACAGAACTGGACCCAGGTGTGGCCCCACCACCGCTGAATAGAGGGGAAGGATCACCTCCCTTGGCCTGCTGGCAACATTCCTCCTAATGCAGCCCAGGATAGTCATTTCACAAGTGACAGAATGAGTGGAACTGTTTTGTTATATTTATAGGGTTTTGTCCTGTGATTGAATCACAGAATGGGCAGTGTCATGTATCTCAAGTGTTAAAAAAAGGTGCCAGCATTCACCAGGGGCAACACGCACTACAGGACCTGGTAAATGCCAAGAAATACTCTACACTGCAAAGACTAACTGAGCTTGACAAAAAAACTGGGAAATGAGGAAGGACTTTCTCTTTCGCTTGCTGAGGACTTGCAGCTTCTGAGGACATGAGATGGGAGTCTGTGACCCCGCTGAGACTTCCTGTTCCAAGGATCTTACAAAATTTTTTTGCTAGTAACGTGCTGTTCTTGTTTCATTTGTTAGGCTCAGTCTTCTTCGATATAATGCAAACCTAATCAAAATGAAAAACAATATGGTGTCAGCGTCTCAGCAACTGAAAGCAAAACTGGAATTCTTTCATCAAAGCATTCGCCTTGACCTGGAGAGATACAGTGACCAGATGGCTTATGGCATATGTACGTATTGTGTAATACTTGCCTGGCTGTCTTGTCTGATCCTATAAAGGATCAGACTGACTGAAGGACTGTGAGTAAGAAGTAGCTTAAAAGAAAATGAATGCGGGAGCTGCCATTGTGTTCCTCAGCATCTTTATGGGTATGTTTTAGCTGGGGCAGATGCAGGAGAAGAGTTTTATAGAAGTAAAGGCAGGAGGATAAAAAATAAAATGGTTTTGGAGACCTTCAGTGACAGTGAAGCAGGTGGTCAGCTGTTCCCCGCTGAGAACACCAGGCTAAGAAAATTGGAGTATTAATAGTATTGGTGATGTAAATGTTTACTGTTTATTCATTCAGAGCCCGATTCATTTGGAGTTTTCACTGGGCATAAAGTGGAGGGCAGAGTTGCTGCATTTGACGGCAGAAAAAACGAGGATGGTGACTGCAGAAAGACCTTTTTGAACAGAGCTAAGGGAGTTGATCTTGCTGTGCTTGATATCAGGAGGTAGCATGAGTCAGGATGAGAGATGAGGTGAAAAAGCACCAGCTACATTTTTAATGTCACAGAAACAGCTGGATCTTACAAATACTATTCAGGGGAGAATAGTAAGATTTATGCATAGTTTGGATATATGCCTAAAAACTGAAACTTGAGTCAAAAATTATGACTGGGCTGAAGGATGATTATGGAAAATGGAAAAACTCGGTGAACTGGTTTTGGACAGTCTGTGTTTAATCAAAAGTGGCAGTTGTTGAGCTTGGTGGTAGAGTTTAAAGACTGAAACTCATTTTAGGCTGGTGATTGCAAACAGTGAGATCTTACCAAAGGGTTTGTATGTGAGTTAAGGTTGAGCATGGAGTTGTTAAGTTGCAACTTTGCTGTCTCTCTCTGATATCTCTGGGTCATGACTCCTGCTTGGAGATTCAGCATCATGCTCTTTGTGTTCAGATTCAACTGATGTATGTAAAGTTCAGGTCATGCTTTATTTTTGTGTCTGTATCTTTTTATAAATTAACAACTCTCTTCTCTTAAGCTTCAGAAAAGATGCTCAAAGCCTGGAAGGAGATGGAGGAGAAGGCCTCTCAGTGTGCACAGGTAGGGGATATTACAGAAGCTTCATTGTCTCTCTGTGAAGGAGATCATGACAGAAACTTAAAGTGGTGTGTGTGCCACTGTGCTCTCCCTTCAGTGTGTTTCATATCCTGCCTGCTGTGGGAATGAGAATATCATTGCTGGTGCATTAAAAAAGAAGCAGTCACCAGTCACCAGGTGGTTTGAATCTAGTGATTTGAACAAAACCGGCACAAATGTCACTAGACTTAGTTGTCTGTATAGGAAAGTAGACTACAGAGACATGTTATTTATTGCCCAAAAGAAATGATGTTGCTATAGGCAAGAGTCTTCCTGGTTGGATTTACTGCACACACAAATTTCCATCGTTAAAGCTGAAAATAACACCAATCACTTACTATGCAGTGATTTCAAAATTGTAGTATTTCATTTAGGACTACAGACACAAATGTCTGGTGTTCTGCAAGTAAATATGAAAATTAGCTTTTAATAAGAGTCATCCTTAAGAAATTCAGAGCAGAGCTAAAGCCAGTTCTTACTCAGTAGTCCTAATAGTTAACAGATGTTTCCACTCGTGGTTTATGGATAGTTGAGCTGACATAATGGCTTTCTGTTTCTTGGAGAGTTAGTTCTGCGAGAAAGGCTACTTGAAACTTACCTACTGCTTAGAATTCTGATCTCTCTCTTCTGGGAATGAATGTCTTAATTTTACCTCTGCTGGAAACAGCGAGGAGACAGAGGCCTTTTTGGCAGCGAATAATTCTGTCTGCAATTCTATCCAGACCTTTATAGGGAAGAGTTCTAGCTGTGAAAACTAGGGACAGAGTTAGGATGATTGCAGTTTATTGTCAAAAGCTGTTTCTTCTTCTTTTCTACTGGATGTACTGAATAAAGCTTGGGAGTGTTCAGAAGGAATGCGAGGAAAAATCAGGACATTTGTAATGTATTTCTCAGAGTAGAGGTCTTTTAAAATGTCTCAAAAAGTACTCTCCTTATTGTGCTCCATGATAGCTGCAGGAATACCAAGACCATTGCATGTCCTACTGACCAGGACTGTGGTGTGGTTTGCTGGGCTGATGTCTTGAATTTCTGCATTCCCCTGCAGGGAGTTTTTGTGTTGGCTCTCATAATGATACAGAGCAAGTGATAAGTACATAAAAATCCCGGACACCATTAGAAACACAAGCAATAAATTACATTGCCCATTTTCCCCCTATGAAGGAACAGACTGGGTAGTTCAGATTCTGGGATCCACTCTGTATCTTCATCTAAGTCAAAAGGTTCTTGGAGCCTTGATTCTCCTTCCTCATGTGATAGAGATAGGGGAATTGGGATTCTCACCTGAATTCACCTCTGTTTAGCTCTTTAAATTTTGGGATCTTGTTGCTCCCTGTTAGGAAGCAAGAAAGATAAAAGGGAGACTGCGTCTAGCAGAATAACTCAAAGCTGTCGCTGCCTGTTGCCAGAAAACCAGGAACCTCAACAAATATTTACTTTGCAGACCATCAGAATTATGTTCTGTCTTCAAATTGTGCAGTCCACATGTATAGGCACACCGTGTCCATTTATCAGGAATGGAAAATGTTTTACCCTGTAATACATAGTGGTATCTCTGTCTACCTAGTGGGCAGCTTAACTTCTGTGAATTCAAGAGACACAGTTATGCTGTGTGGTGAGTCACAATGCTGCAGATAAAGACATTTCAGGGCTTAACTTCACATTTTTCTCACAATCTAATTCTCCTTTGATTATGTGGCTTCTTGCTGCTGCTTCTTCTTGGTTTATTCTTTACCTGTAAGACCTACAGACATCCCTTCTGGTCAAGGGGTCACGTTCTATTTGTATAGCTTCATGCCAAGTACTTCTGCAGTGTCAGCCAGGGGTATGTTCTGGAAGACATTCCATTTTCAGATCCTACAGCCCCAGGTCAGAAAGGAAAAGCTGAAATACCTCAAAATACTTGCTTAGGAAGGCAGACATCTGCCCACAGTCCATGGCGCTAAGACCCATTCTGGTGATCGGTCCTTTCTCAACTGTGCTGGGAATCTCCAGTGCATGTCTGGCAGCACATACCTACTCCCCACACTCAGAAATGTTGTTGTTGGCTGCCTCACCTGAGTTACTGTGGGGACTTCACGTAAGGTTGGTATCTTTTATATTGCTTTGAGGAAGATGTGAAATACCAGAGAAATGGCAGACTAAAATGCATTTATGAGGGTAAAATGTGAGAGCACTCTCTGTCCATACTGTAAGAGTAGGAGAAAAAAAATCTTCACTGCTGGAATGTATATAGAGCCAGAGAGTGTGTGTGCATGCAGCATGCATCTCAAAGAGAGCTGATTTATGAAGAAACTCGTTTTTCTCATCCAGTGTGGTTGTCAGAGATTTGGGTCTAGGTGATACCATGCACTGATAACAGTAACCTCAATTATTGTAGCAGCAGTCACATCAAAGGGCTTTTTTTTCTCCTAAACTCTGCATGGAGTCAGCCCATTATCCAAACAAGCATTCTGGAGATCTTTATCTACTGTATTGCTTTCCTCCTTCAGTTTGATTTGTACCTACATTTTGCCATTAGGCTGAAGATATTGGATATCTGGATGAGCAGATCATGGCTTTGCACACAGAGATTGTAGAGCTTCAGAAGAGTCCATATGCTAGGCGCCAAGGAGAGGTCATGGAGAGCTTGTAAGTCCTTTGCTTATTATTTTTATTGCACATAAATGGATTTTATGTATTTCATTGTCTGAGGGTGGGTTTTTTTTCTGTTGGTGGTTCCATCAGCGCTTTTGAAGTTCGCTCCTTGCTTGTTGCAAACTGCGAGTACAGAGTAGTTTGCAATCAGTTTAAGATCATTTTGGTGGTAAAATGGAAGATCCCAGCACTTGTGGCTGTATGTCCCTCCTTCCTCTTGAAGTTCTAATGATCACTTGGCAACGTTATAAGGCAGAATAGGACACTGCTTTATCCAGAATAGGACACATGCAAGAAAGGTGAACATTCAGTCACAGGAGTAAACTCATCTGACTTACCTAACTTACCCTCAGCTACACCATGACTAGACCTGGAGAAACATGGAAAACACAGCTGGGGAGGACAGGACACTTCTCTGTCACTGACTATGAAACTTCATCGTAGAAGCGGATGGGCCTAAGATATATCGATCTCCACTGAAAAAATGCAGAGGATTTCTTTTTGTATTGGAGAAGAGTGAATTTTATAGTGTTGAGTGAGAAAATTATGAGATCATTGTAAAATCCTGTTAAATATCGTCAGTGTGTTTTCAAAGCAAGGATAATTAACAACTCGTGGATACTTGACTATTTGGGAATGTGAATATTATTTTTTTTAAAGTATTAAAATACAAAAGAGCTAAGTGGTATTACTGATCTTAAGAAGACATAGGAAGCAATCATTGTAGTTTGGGCTGTTGCTGAGAACACAAGAGGCAATTATAAAAGAGAGGGATCAAATAGCCACTAAAATTGAATAGCCGCTAAATCTGTGGTTAATAAGAGCTCTTCTGAATGACTCTCAGATTTCTGGGAGGAAACATGCCTGTTCCTGGCATGTTCTCCCCCCTCACTCTTTGCAGAGCTAGATCAGCTAAGTCACTTTTCATCCATGCATAGTTGCAGGAGCAGCAGAACCAGTGCACAGGGGAGGAGGTGGTGGAAAGGAGAAACCACCTCTTGTAGCAGTAGCCCACATTCAGAGCAGCTTAAACCGATCATGAACCTGCGTCCTAAAACATTGTGTTTTTTAAGCACTTTCACCACTGCAAACCCAAGGCTGCATCAGCTATTTGCAAGGTGCTTAAAGCGTACCCGAAGCTGTTGATTATTCTGCTCTAAAGCTACTCCTCTTGATGAGGAGTGGAGAACAGATTGAGTCTCCTGCTCTTTACTTTTCAGGGCTATAGCAAAGCATACTGCAGAGCACTAGTTTACGGTTTGATGTACACAGCTACGAGACACACATGGATGTCCTGGGTGATGCCTCGGATTTACCTGAGATGCTGGGCGCTAATGTTCTTTTTTTCCCAGTGCAGCAGGAGTAAGGAGTACCTCTCCCCTTGTCCTTGGCTGATGCAGGAGTTTCAAGATGGATAACTATCCAGCCCTCTAGAAATGCTGACTTATATAAGCAGAAGCAGCTTGCGTGATCTTGTGAAACAGTATTGGGTTGATCTAAGGGGAAGAAGAGGCCTGGTGAGGGCCCATAAGCAGAGTTAGGTCTGGCTAAACTGCTACTTGTTTCTGACAAACTTTTGATTTAGAAGAGTGAAGATTTGTTCAAGGGTGGAAGCTTCAGTGTTTGGCTCACTTGAAATATTTCAAAGAAGTAGCATTTATTTCATGGGAAGAAGAGAAACACCGTCCTCTTGTTTGTGATGCAGCTGTCTCTTTACATTTGCAGAATATCACTAAAATTCAGGCAAAAAATGCAGAACAGGAATTTCTTGGGCAGTTGTGCAGAAGTACTTACAGTTACAAAAATGAAGTTTCATAATTAAGGATACTGTGGAAAGAACACAGCTGAGCTATGTGAAGCTTTTAAACTGAAAATAACCTCCAGTTGATACAGTTATCTGAGAAGAAAATGCATCATCAGAGGAAGAGAGACAGCTTTTTAGGGAAGAGTTGATTTCCATCACAGAAAGGCCACCCCTGTGTTCCAATAGCATACTTGTGTACTAGCTGTAGAAGAAGGTGGCAGCTGTGATACATGAGGTTCAGCAAGGCATAACTTAATTGCACTGCTTTTTTTTTTTTCTTGAGTTGCCTGCTTGTTGATACATGTATGAATCCTTTTCTTCCTTTTTTAAAGGGAGCAGAGAGCCATAGACCTGTACAAGCAATTAAAAACAAGACCTCCAGGTATGGAAGGAGATGGTTCAAAGACTGTTTTGCACTTGTACCCCATGACTAATTTCTCTGAACTCAAACCCAGAAAATACTGCTTAGGAGAAGGCAAATGATTGCATTAAAGTTATCCAGACTCAAGGACATACCTCAAGATGATTTCTTCTTTTTGCTGAGCCTAGAGCTCTCCTAAATTTTGTAGTCCTTTTCCTCAGCCGTGGGTTTGTCTTTTGGTTTTCAGTCTTGAAGCATCTGCCCTGAACACATGTCTGCGTTCTGGGATTCTCTACCTTGTTTTCCTGGTCCCAGTAGTATTGCTTTACTTCCCCCAGACATACAAAGAACTGCTGTTCCTCTGTTGTCACGCCAACCTAAGGGCAGTCTGTTTTCTACCTCTCTTCCTCTCTCTTAATTGTACAGGATGGAGCCCCATGTTTGGGGATTATTATGTTACAAACATAGTAACCAGTAAGCAGAAAGATTTAGTTACTTATGCATTTGGCAGCTACCTGCAATCCTTACTGAAGCCAATATCTAGACAGCAAGAGCAGCTGGAATTGTATACATTACTGTGGAGAGAAGAGACATTAAGGAAAAGCGATGCCTAATGAGTGACTGTGAGAGATTTTAAGATGTTTCATTGTGTTTCAGTTTGTTTGGCTGCACTCGTTAGGTCAAATCTTTCCTTGACTCTGGGCATTTGTGTCCAGAGTGGCTCCTCACTGAAGAGCACTTTACCAATGTGGTGATTGATGGCCTTTCCAGATCATGCCTACAGTGACAGCACAGACATGGTGAAGATTATTGTTCAGACGGTACAGAGCCAAGATCGAGTTCTCAAGGAGCTCTTCGGCCATCTCAGGTATTTTATGCAGAAAAAAAAAAAAACCAAACAAATGCAATTTGCAGCATTTGTCGCTTTGTAGCAGGAAAGGAGAGGGAAACCATGGAGATCAGAGCCCAAAAACTCCATCCGCAGGTAGACGTTTCTCATAGCAATATTAATTCTGCTCCTTTGTGTCTGTGTTGACTTTCCATTTACCTTTCTAAAACATACAGCTAATAGGGAAGGGGAGGAGAATGCCATGGCTTGCACTGTTAGCATCCAAGAGTTCACTTTAAAATGAGACAAATTCTGCCAATGTTTAGGTTGGGATTAAAATCTTAAGGAAAAAAAGAAATAGTGTAACAGCTGAGAAGATACCACAGTGATTTGTTCATTAATTCATTAATTCTTCAAGTAGCTCAGAAAAAAATGTCATTATGCAGATCTCAGTAGTCAGCAAAGCATGATTTAGTTTTATTTTCACGTGTGGCTTATGCATAGTAGATCCTATAAAGTAAGTTGTAAGGTATGGTACGGTCAGCCCACAGAGACCAACACAGACCGGAGAAGATTAATAAAATACCATGGTTTAGTTGCTGTGCTGTCCATTGTCATCAGGATCAATTTCTGCATTTCAAGTAAGAAGAGTATATATTGTGGGTATTAATAGCAGCATTGTCTGCCTGCTTTTTTGAGTCTTAACTGGACTTGAAAAAGTCCAGGGACCTCTCTGGTCTTGCAGGTTTTGTCCCTGCAGCTGTCACAGTGCTGTGCTAAGAGAAAAGGCTGTTCTCACAGAATTTTTCTTGAATCCGAAGGTGAGGGTTTTGGTTTTGCCAGAACGTATTGCCACACAAGCTGGAAAGTAACTTTGTGTTTTGTTTTTATTATAGCAAGCTCTTGGGCTGTAAGCAGAAGATCATTGACTTGCTTCCAAAGATTGAAGTGGCTCTAAATAATATCAAGGAAGCTGACAACTCAGTGATGCAGATGCAGGGCAAAAGACAAAGGGAGATATGGCATTTGCTGAAAATTGCTTGTGTAAGTAGCTTTTGGAGTGTTCATTTGCTCTTTCTTCTAGTGCAGGAGCCAGGGGACATCAAATGAAACTCTGAAGAGGCCAAAAAGTGATAACTTCCACACAATGGTTGATTTTACTCTAGAGAAGGGAAGTTTGAGGTGCTAAAAGTTGACACAGGTTTAGAAAGGGGGTAGACAAATTCATGGAAAAGAAGCCCAGTACAGGAGTCTTTGGTCCCAGTAAGTCCTCAAGCTGCAAATCACTGGTGGCTGGAGTACAGTAGACATGCCACGCCATGCTCCTTGTTCTTACGTTCCCTGAATGTCGAGTGTTGGCTGCTGTTGAAGGGCATATGCTGGGATAGGTGAACTTCAGCCTGGTGTATTAAACCTAACGATTTTCGTGCTGCAAAAGCGAAATAGGTACTTTCCTGGTTAGTTTAAGGTGTTTTAAGACTACACTGCTTTTCCTACATCAGTTACAGTGACTATACAGCTGAAGCGATCTCCTGATTTCCACATGCCTGCTTTCAAGGTCAGCATAGGAAATGTGTCTTTCCCCTGTCAGGAGAGTTGCTGCTGTGCATGACTCAGTTTAGGACATGGCACCACCTCCTTCAGTGTAGAAGACATGCCATATACAACACGGGTGACTTACACGTGGAGACATTTGGTACCAGCTGTTTGCAGAACTGTGGAGGGTTGTATCAGCTGACTTGCCAGCCACAGGCACAGCCTAGATTGTGTGTATGTGTTACAAACAGTGCTCATGTTTCATTGCAAGTCTTGCATACAAAATAATTAAGCCTGACTAAATTCTTCCTTTGTCTGTCACAGCAGATGAATTGTTTGGTTTTGTTCTTTTTTTAGACTCAGAGCTCTTCTCGATCGCTGGTAAGCTCGAGCCTGGAAGGGACAGCCTCAACTCCAGCAGCCACATGGCTCCCACAGAGCTCCTCAGGGAATGTACCTCACCCTCTATCATCTATGGCAACTCCCGAAGATGGGTAAGAGCTGTTGGGAAAGGAGGCCACTGCAGAGAAGCCAATGTAGCCATTTTGTATGTGCACACTCTGAAATCCTGTCCGCTGCCACTGGAGTCTCTGGTGCTGAGGGGCACATCTTCACCACATCCCACGTGGTGGTTTTTGGATATGCTGGGCAGGAAGAGTCTGAAGGCTACATCTGTCTGAAGGCATCTCTGAAGGCAACATCGTTCAGTTCTTGGAGTTCTAGTAACTTGCCTCTGGCCATACCACAGCAAAATGCAACAATGAGATTTTGAGCCAAAATGCAGTTTCTTTTCATGCCCAGGTTCTGGTGGTATTCTGAGATAAATCAGGCCATATTTAGTGCTTCTTACAGCTTCAGTGATTTTAAAAAGTCTAAATTCAAATGGAGGTCTGAAGTTGAGGTCAGTACTAAAGCAATCCATCTGGTTCAGTATCTGGGTTTTTTTTACCATTCCAAAAAACGTTTCAGTAGCTCATGTGTTACTAATGCTCTAAAATATCAGGAATTAGGTTGAGCTCTTTATTCAGTAACCTCCACACTCTGGTCCTGAGCAAGTTCCACATACCACTCGTAAGCTAAAGCACTGCGCTATTCATTTCTTACACATCACATTATTCTGTCTTCGGGTTGGACTTGGTTATGAAGGCCCCTCTCTCTCAGCCAGTCATAGCTGAGTAAGAGAGTTGTCAGGAGCTGAGGGGTTTTTCTCTTTGCTTCATTAGCAATTTTACTTCCAGTCAGCGTAACAGAAGGGAAGGCACCCCTCAAAGACTGCTCAGCCCTCAGCTGGTTTTGTGGGGGCTGGGGCAGGGCTTGTGAACATCTGCATCAAACCATTTGGCCATCTCTTTCATTTTAGGTGGTCAGGGAGATACCTAGGTTCTGAACATACACTTTATCTAAGCAGGCTTTTGCTGGAAGTCAGTTGATTTTTCTGAAACCCTGAGCAACCTTTTCTGCTTCCTCTTTTCTATCTGCTGCTGTGGGGCAGTTTTTGCCTCTGAGAAATGTGGGTTGATCACCTTTTAATCGGTGCCTTCCTGAGCACAGTGCCTTCGGATCACTTTAGAGCTCTCCTCTTTGAACCATGACTTCACTGTACGAGGCACTGTACAAAGAGTCAAGAGATGTAAATCGTACAGGGAGTGGGCAGTGATTTCAGGTCCCTTGTATTGAACTCACTTCCTAGTTTCTGTTAAGGCTGAGTTTCAGTGCGGTTTGTGTAGTTCCTCTGTAGGGAAGGAGTGCAAATCCACGCTTCCAGGGTGGGGATCTGCAGGATGCCACTTCAAGGCATGTTTTTATAGAATCATAGAATCATTATGGTTGGAAGAGACCTCAAAGATCATCAAGTCCAACCGTATACCTGATGCCACCATGCCTGCTAAACCCACTAAACCATGTCTTGAAGCGCCACATCTAAACGTTTTTTGAACACCTCCAGGGACGGTGACTCCCCCCCCTCCCTGGGGAGCCTGTTCCAATGCCTAAC